GTAATCACCTTGAATACGCCACTGGTCACAATGTGTAAAGGCGTGCACAGTGAGTACTTTTCAATGATCTGGAATGATCAATCAGCAGGTGGCATCACATTATCAAGTTCTCGCACAGAATCAGGGGTGGCCCCCACTTCCCACCTCCCCCTTTTGGGAGGGAAAAAAAAAAGAAAAAAGAAAGAAAGAAAGAAAAAGGAAACATTGATCGCCCAAAAGGCCTCAGAGGTTATTTTTAGGCGTCTAGAACACAAAAATTCCCTAGGGCAGTGTTATCTCGATCGGCCCCACTTGGTGATTTCCATTTTATAGCATTTTTTACATCTCAATATGCTATCTTGTATACATAGTCATTTGCATATATATTTTTCGGAAAATGGTTTGATGCATGTGATAAATATTGGAAATACATATCTGTGAATTATTTATTCAGCTAGGAGGAGGCGCTGAGGTTGCTATGATGTGTGACATGATCTATGCTGGCGATAATGCTCAGTTTGGTCAACCAGAAATACTACTGGGCACAATTCCAGGTAAGAAATGTTTATTTACATTAACCACCAATTGCTGTGAAAAGATTGTTGTACTGACAGAGGATAATTGCTCATTGTAAATGATGTCAAGAAGACCATTGCCACCTAAAGGTAAAGGTAGGAGAATAACCCATAACTTTCAGCGCCATTGTACTGAATTACGTATGGGTGTGGTCCGTGATTATTGCAGCAGCCGTAGAGAGACGCTTTATTCACACTCATTCCGCTAAGACGGGCTGAATGAACCATAGCATCGGGGTAACCCCTACTCTTCCGAAAGATGCAATGGGTTCTTTAAAATGCACATGAGCCAGATGTGTACACCGAACCTCCCGTTTTTAAATCCTTATCCGAGAAGACATGGTTCTACTAACCAACTTTGGGCGAGGAGTAGCTGGAATCGGTGCCAATGGTAGGGCTGTTGTTAGTGGTGCCCCTACCTTACTGCTCAGCCATTTGACTTGCCACAAACACGAAATATATATTATTAAATGTGATGGTGGCAATATCATAAGTAAAGTTTCTAGTGTCTGTAATATATATGACAATGCCAGGCTCCAGCGGGAACTTTGATATGTTGTAATGTCCTTTTTCCTCCAGTGTTTAAATATTCAGACCTGTATCTTATCTATTCCTGATTACTGTGTCAAACACTCCTTCAGTTTCTCATAAAATCACATTGTACAACATATGGAACCTGACTTTAAAGGTTATTATATTTCACATTGTTTTACTTGCTTTTCTAACACTGTCATGATCAGGTGCCGGAGGTACTCAAAGACTTACCAAGGCCATCGGCAAGTCTAAAGCCATGGAGATGGTATTGACAGGGGACCGTATCTCAGCCGAGGAAGCACAGAGATCAGGTACGTATATATTTATATTCTCATTCTATTTACTTAATAGTACATACATCTGGTACTGGTACAGTCATTTATAATGCACCTCTTCCTTGCGGTCTTAAAAATCGCAGTTCCTTTGCCTGGTCATTAGGTCCACATGCTAAGTGTTGCTGCTGGTAATCAGTGCAAGAGCAGGCAACCCCACCAGATCAATACAAATAATGTAATGTATGTATGTACTATTTACTTAGTAGTGCATACATACATTAAATCATTTGTATAGCGCTATTTCATGAAGATCAGAGTGCTTTTTGCGTATTTTTTAACTAATATACTGTGACGACGAAATGCATCTAACAGAAGAGACCAGAAAGTGAGAAAAAAAAATAAAGCAACACAAATGAAACCAAACACCACAGCACTGTTCTCCAGCAATTTAAGGCTGGTGCACAATTGAATGTGATTATTATAAAAATACTATTATTTTATTTACATTTGCACTTAATTTTTTAGCAAATTACATTAATATTAGCCTAAATTATCATTATTTCATGTTCAACATAATTTATTGTTTGATTTGAATTTCTAGGGGCCATATTTACTAGCTATGACATAATTTTCTCTACATTCCAAAATTTACCAAATTGTCAAATTAGGCCTAATAATATTGGTATATTGATTTTATTTTATTTATTTTTGGAATTTGTTGATTTATTATTGAGATTTCTTACGGAAGTTATGCTAAGAATTACTGTAGTTTGTGAATTTATTATTATGTACTATATATTATTGCCTTGTACTGTGTATTATTGTGATGGGTCTCTATAATCAGCTACAATTTTTAAGGACAATTCATATATTACATTGATATTTAGATGAATAAAAAATTACTTTGCCCTAAATGTAGGCCAACAACTTGGCAGAGCAGTAAAAGTTAACCCCATTGCATATTCTGTGTAATTGGCCAAGATTGACCATTTATGTTTGTTACTGTTGCCTAGGTCTAGTAAGCAAAGTTTTCAAAAAAGAAGTTGTTCTCGATGAAGCCATCAAAACAGCTGAGAAGATAGCCAGCAATTCCAAACTAGTGGTTGCCATGGCAAAGGAGGCGGTCAACACTTCCTTTGAGACTACACTCAGTGAGGGACTTCATTTTGAAAAGAGGATTTTCCAC